GATACTTCTACAGTCTCAGGATAATGCTATTCTAAGCATAACCCTATAGAAAAAGACCACAAGGATATAATAGTAGTTTGTAGTCATTTCTTCTCCGATTTAAGAATATCCTTTTTCTAGCACAACGTTTCTCTCCAAAACCACTTTCCATTATAGAGCTTCACATAGAGCTCTCTCTCTCTTTCTTGCATGCTTAAAGATGCCATAGAAATTACAATGAATCGTTAAATAAATGCTCATATTTACTTTTTCTTTAGCTAAATACTAGTAGCAATAGCATATCAATAATAATAATTTAAATAGAAAACAAATAACGAATTTTTAATTGTTACTATGGAGAAAAAACCTTTAAAGCCTTGTCAAGTTGGGAGGCAAAGAATAAGGTAATAGAAAAATGAAAACAAAACTCATTATAGGAACTTTGTGCCATAGAAACCATTAGGGACCGGAATTTGCATGGACCGGTTGATGGGAAAAGGTGGCGGTGGCTGCATAAGCGGAATATCTGTAGGCATAACAGCATAAGGCTGATGTCCATTGGCTGCAAACGGTTGGGGAGCATATAGCTGCATCGGTTGGCCAGTTGCGATTAGACCTGAATCACACAAAAATGATTTTTTTTTGTAAGTGAAAGCCAAACTCTTTGGTCTCACCATGAAACCATACATAGAGAAAGATGTTTTTACTTTGGTGCTTTGGATATTGAAGCTGTTGTGGGGAAAAGAGAGGACGAGGCGGTAAATGAGTGTGATGTGGTGCTCCTTGAACCAATTCCTTACAAGAACATAAAAGGGAGATGATTTGAGTTTCTTGTGAGCAAATGCAATTGTTTGTGTTAATAAAACAAGAATCATTTGTGTTCTTACCTGAGAAATCGGTTGCATATACATAAGCTGTCCTGATCTCCCGACCATTACCTGGAATATACAATTTGAAAAGAGCCTTCAGAAACTCATTACACTATAAGCTCACTAGACAAGAAATCAATCCTTATTAACACACTTAATACAACCTGAGGATTCGGATTTACAAGCATCGGTGTGGGTTGAACATGGTACTGAGATGTGAATCTATGTGGCTGTCCCGTGTTAATAGTAGGCCCTACCATCTGCAACAGACATAGGATTCAAACGGAAAAGGAGATTCATCAATCGCAAATAACTTTCATATCATCACTTGCAAATAGAATTGACAGTAGAAGGTAAAGGGAAGCATTTTAACATTAGAAACGGTTGTTTGGTATTAAGTTATATAAATATCTTCTCATGTGTAAAGATGATACTGGTCATGCAATATTGGCGTTTCAGCCATTTTAAGTACTTAAGAGCTAAAAGGAGTTAGTCGATGAAAAATTCCTTGTACCGATATGATAATTAGTCTGAGAGAGAGAGAATAAAAGAGATTACGTACATGTTGGGGAAAATGAGATCCACTGCCAGGATTTCCAGCAGCCATATTAGTGTACGGAACTAATTTTGAAGGTGAAGATGCCTGAGACAAGAAAGGATTGATCCCAATTTCTGGCTGAACAGCTTCAGGAACATGCAACATGGGAGTATTACTTGGCACATAACCCATACTTGCAACAACAGGCGTCATACCACTAGCAGTTGCTGAAAGACGTTTTGTAAGAGATGGGGAGAAAGTCTTTGCTCCTGGATTCAGCTTAAACTCCTGCATATTAGAAACGAGTAACAAACAAATTAAAATGACATGCTAAGTCATCAGACCTCACAACCAAGAAACAAGCGTCCTAAACTAACTTGAGCATATAGCAGATACTATGAACGTGAAAAAACGATAAGAATTCTTTATTACCTTCGCCTTTTTGACAGGGTTTGTTGCCTGCGTAGGTAGTGGCTTATTTGTAGATGCCACCAAATCTTGACACGTTTCTGAATGTTCATGAAGAGATGTACTGTGTGATGATGAATTTCCAGTTGATGGGGGGCTCTCTACAGCTTCATGGAAACCATTACTAGTGGGTTCCGGCATAATCTTCTCTTGTTCTATTGGTTTCACACGTTCAGTCATTTTGTCCACTGTTATTATAACACATAGATGATATTTAGTATACACATGCCAGAAAAAAATTACTGTCAAGAGGAAGCGGAACTAATCATGGTTATATAAATAAATAAAACAGATTCTCGATCATATATGAAACTTACAGCTGAAACTTGATCTTTGGGCATCCACCTGCAGTAGGACATACAATAATAAGCAGCTGCTCAGTAATATCGTGAAATTCAGAATTAAAGTATCTACGTGCAAAACTAACATTATCCTCCTGATGAACGTCAGTATTTTGTTTACTAGACTTCACAATTCGGGCTCCTGCCTGTCTGTCAGCAAAAGAATATACAAGAATCAGAGAGCTACTTAGGAAAACTCTACAATTCGATGTCCAACATAGAAAGTAACTTGTCGAAGCACAGAACACAGAGGATTATAATCGCCAGAAAACTAAATTACCAAGATTAAATCAGAAATAGAAGTTTGGTTACATATGTGTCAATATTGGGACGGAGAAAGATTATTTTTAAAGGGAACTACTTGTATAGCCAAAAACAGAATACTGGTGATTCATACCGTTGATGGTTCACACGGTTAGGATGACGTTTGTTCTGCAATAGAGGAAAATGAAAAAAGAAAAGCATCACGAGAGTGCGAAAATCAAGAAAGGGACCAAGACTGTAAAAGCTGAAGTAAAACAACATTACAAGAATCTTAAATACTGACTCTATACAAAGCATTCATGAATGACTATTAACTAAAGAAACCAAACACCATTTGCATAACTCTACGGCCAACCAAATGGAGGCTGGTTTCAGTTCCATCTTGTATAGGTTCCCACCACATGAGGAGAACTACTTACTTAAATTCCACAGTACAAGAACATAAAAACAAGACAAAGCTACCTGTGCAATACCAACCTCATCTCTTCTCCCTGGCTCTTTCATGGCATCTGCAGTGCAACTTGAGGAGAGGCCCCTTGATTCTTGATCTTTCCCAGCTGTCAAAGTTCTTACTTTGTTTTCCAAACGGCTTTCAAGTTTGGCGGAATTCCTGATTTAGAATATGAAGAGATGAACACAACTTTTCCTCTAGTGCTTTACAAAGCCATAAAGTAAATCTAAACAAAACTGATGATGCATCATGCATCCTGTGGTAAAACAAAGAGGGCGTATGAAAAAAAAAAAAAAAGAGATTCATAAAGTGATGATGCATCATGCATCAATAACCCTTGACCTTCTAACTTTTGTCTGAATATGGAGTTAAAAAGCAACTACAAAGTTTACCTTCTATGATTAGAGCCTCTTCTGTCAATGCCAGATTTTATGGACTTATTTGCAACACATGAACGAGGCTCGGAAGGAAAATCTGCTATGGCCGACACAACATTTTCACCTACAATATTGGCTGCAACATTGGACGGAATCGAGACTCCCTATGAACAAAAACCATAAGAACGAAAGTCACAAAGGCTGGGGTAAACGAATCTCAAGAAGTAAAATTATTATAGAAAAGGAACCAGACCAACCTCCGCAACAATTTGAACAATATTGGAAGACAGAATAACAAGTGTCTCCACAATCTTCCCAGCTGCTACATTCGATTTACTTGTTCCCTTCTTAGTGATTTTAGCATTCTTCAAAACAATGCCTAATGCAGAGCAAACCAGGAAATTCAGAAACAGAGCAAATTGCAAAGGAATTAATATTGTATTTTCCTCTCACTCTACAGTAATGAAGCAATGAATGAACGGAAGATCCAATTCAAATCTCTGCGATCGAATTCATTTTCATTTGTAAAGGAAAAGTTTGGAAATCTACCGATGAGGAAAACCAAATCGCCGATACAAATTCCAATCAATTCAAGCACCAAATCTCTTATACGAAAACAAATCACCAATAAAAAGCCTCCTTAACTCCGAAGAAAACGTACCGAATTCATCATCGAGGGAGATGGTGTAGAAAATCCCAGAAAAAATGGATCCATCCTCTATATGCACATGGACTTGCAAGCCGATGATGCACATGGTAGAGATTAACAGAGACTCGTTGAGC